CAGAAAAACAGACTTTCTCTGCTTTTTTCTTTCGATCACTTGCTCTTATCTTTTACACTTAATTGCCAAGGAACTGATAGCTTCCCTCCAGCTGTTGTGGCTGTCCCACTGCTATAATTATAACACTATCTGTACTTCATTTTAGTCTCTCCTTATGGTCCTTCCCCAAGATGCTACTAAAGTTATATAGTTAGTGATTCTTTGAGATAAAAAGAGCCTACTTAATTTCAGAGTGGATTTTTTCATGAAAATACTAGATTTCACCAGCTGCAAATGTTAAACCAATTTGAACATCTTCCAGAGTTGGAGAGACTAAAAGAAGGTGACATTTCTTGCTGGTGCCTATAGTGTGTCTTCCCCAAACTGTTAAAATTGAAAGTTTCACTGTGTAAGTCAAAGCCAACCACTCATGAGTAATGATCACTTTTTGCCATTAGCAGCTAAAGTCTCTTCCTAAGGTGTTTGGAAAGGTTGCTGTCAGGCATCACAATTCTGTAATGCAATTTATCCATGCAAGTGTATGGAGAGGAAAAATGCACTTTGATTCTGAAGTATTGGGAAGGGTGGGAGGCAGTATTTTCTTTCTCCTTAAGAAAGAAATGGATTTCTTATGCAGTGTTTGGAACATCTGTTTCTGATAACTCTAGTTTGAACCTAGATCTTTACAAAAAGTTCTCTTCCAGGGTTTGTTTTATTCTGTCTTTACTGGAAATAATAATTAAATTAAGGTGTGTTTTTTCAGAAGTAAATTAAAAAATACTGGTGTTACTGCACATTAAAAATTAAAAGTTATAATTTGGAAACTCACATCAGTTTTACTCTTGTGTAAAGGTTAACATCATATGCAGTTCACTCTGGCAAGTGTTAACCAAACAGGCCACAGCAGTGGTTCAGATTTTCTAGACCAAAATAGGTATTGAATGAATTTAGTGGATCATGCATGATCCATTATGCACTTGACCAATCAGTTTTAATGCTCACCTGTGAAAGTAATTTGATGAGTAGCAAACCTAATAGCTTGTTTTATCTCCCCTTAATCTCCATCCCACTCACTTAGAGGATGCTCAGGATGCCTCAAAAATACATAATAAAGATATAAATAGACCGTTAAATTCTGTTTGAAAAGACACAGAAGATGAGAAACTAAAAGAGGAAGGGAAACACAACATTAATGGAAGTCAAGAACTGAATAATTTTTCTATTGTCTTTTCTACAGAATAAAAAAAAAAGACAGGTCTTATTAGTTTTATTTGAAAATAGGATGGGGAAGAGCTGAGAAATGGATCACTCTCAGGCACATTTACGTATTATTGTACGATTTATTATGAGCACTCTGAAAACCGCATTAGTTCTGGAAATATTAATCTAGAGAGGGCTGTACTTTTTTCTGATTAAACCTGTTCTTTGTTCCTTTTCTGATAAAGGCATAACTGAACTCTTTAAGTTATTAGTTGTTATTTTGAATGTATTTAATCTTGGTTAGGGCGTGGAGATTTAGTACGCCTTCAAATACTTAAAATAAAGTTAGTAGCTAACTTCGGAGTTTTCTCTTGTTCTCTTGCTTCTGAGCAGTAAAGAGGCAGAATGTTATGCAGGTAATTGCACTAGACTGAATGGATTGCCCTGGGATGCTGGAAAAGGTCTAAGTCTATTGCAAGGCAAGATGATTGCGATGAATAGAAAACAGAGAGCCTGTCGAGGGATTAAATCAGTGAATGGAAATTACTCTGATATATGAATGGATGTCTGTATTAGATCAGTTGGTGGAAAACATTGTTATACTCTGGGACAAGGATAAACACTTCAATAAAATACAGGATAGCTGTTTTAGTTGAGTTAAACTATGATTTTCTAGTCAAGCAATCATCTTCCTGTGATGACTGCAGGTTTTCATTTGTGTACTTGCTTTTTGGCTTTACTTGAAGAGAAATACAGTGGTCCTCATCTCTACTGGCAGACAAATTGACATGATGTGTACTCTGCAGTAATAACCATACATTACCTTCAGTGTATATGCTAGTACTGCAAATTTGCTACTAAAATAAAAGCATTAAAGATAAAAGTCATTTTGTTAGGCTGCCTTTGTCACAAATAGCTTTAGTTACAATGAAAATTACCAGGTTTAGAATGCTTTTTCTATTTGCATTATTTCTTGATGTAGTTTACCAATCAGTGTAACATAAAATATTCTTGTTTTACAGTTAAACTCTAGTTATTTTCCTTTTCCCTGTAATTTATGGTAGTTGAAAGTTGCTATAGTAGAATTACATTCTATAGCTTGATACAAGACCAATTCAGTTTTCATAAATGATAATGAAAATTGCATGGCATACAAAACATGCCATGCAAAATAGTCAATAATACAAGAATATGACAGTTTATACAGTTCCTTGCAGCTGAAATAAACTGTCCTCTGCTAGCAGGTCAGTTTGAAAAAAAAAAAAATCATGCACCTTCTAAAAACTGAAGTCAGTGAGATTTGTTTGAATCTCAGAGTAAAATTTGTCCCTAAGGCAGCAGACATTTTTACAGAAAGACAAACCTCCATGCCTTTATGCTCCTAACGCTGAGGACTTCTGTCAGGTAGGCAAATAAAATGTGAGTCCAATTTCAGTTTTCCTTTGTCCTTCGTCCTGCCACAGGAAGAGTTTCTTCACCTGTTAGTAACATTACCTCATTGATCAAAATATAAACTCTAGGAAATTGCAGCTTTTTTTATGTCATGTTTATTTACTGTAGTGTGCTGGATCAGCTCTCGTCCCAATGAAATTTCTATCCCTATTTTAATATTTAGTTTATTAAAAAAAAAAAAAAAGGCTAAAGTGCTTTAAAGTATGTATTAAAAATGTTCACACGTCTCATTAGATCTGACATTTGTAAATACTTTTAAACCGCTTATATTCCACATCCTACGTTCCCCTGTTCTGGGGAAAGGCACACAGCAGTCATAAGACCACTGTATAAGATATGTCATAAGACAAAAATGAAGGAAGACATTTCATAAACTGATGCAGTAGCTGCATGAACAGGGACTTCTCTTTATCTCAGGATTCATCTTAGTCGTTCGTATTTGAGGCAGTGATAATCTGTGAGATACTGCAAAGGGGCACGTAGCAGCTGTCCATCAGTGAATGCTGGCTGCTACACTCTTAGGTTACAGTTGTCCCCTTTTTCTGACAGTCTTGGCTGTATTTTGAAGGAAGTATGGAGAAATGGAAATGCTATTACATTTTGTAATGCTGTTCCATGCTGTAGTGTCCCAGTTTTCCATAGGTACCTGTTTGCTGTTCTTTGCATGTGTATTTTCATCAAGGTTTCTGATATCAGTATTTCATTACAGGCTTCTTGCTGCACAGGAGAACTTGATTCACTGTTATTTGCTGTAGCTTTTATTTTCCTTTTGTTGCGTGGCTGTTTTCACCTTTCATGTTTTCACCTTTCACCATCAAGTCAATGAGTTGGGCAGCTTACCACAAGTGATCCTTTTCAAACTCACGTTTTGTATCCCCTGTTTATTTTTAGTGCTGCTAGATTAAAAGGTTCTGTAACTATATTTGTTCAGAGGCTGTTTCAGGGATGCTAATTACTTTGATAACAGGTGGGAATTCCCATGGGATTTTTCCAAATGTTATTTCTGTTTCTTGTTTCTTTATGAAAGTAAAAAGTATTGCCTATAGAAATACAGACATTGATCTATAGCTATGGAGAATAGTAAAAAACCTGAAGTTTATGTGATTGCCAGTTTCTATACAGCATTTAGTGGAGAACACAAATTTTCTTTTTGGTATTATTTGGGAGACTGCAATGCAGCAGAACATTATGCTACAGAAAGTTCTATTATGTCATATGAATAGACAGACACGTTGTCAAGAGTTTTTTTGACCCATTTAGATGTATGTGGAAAGTACTTCAAATAACTAAGTAGAACCAGCTAAGGAAGCAGTAGAAATGAATAATAGTGCAGTATAGTAAACATAAAATGGGCTAATTATAGTCTGAAATCAAATATTGTAGATGGATTTCCAAATTTTTAGTGTGCAGCTGTTCATTCTGGCTCTAGAAGAGAACAGGAATTGCAGTCTACAACAGAAGGAAGCTTGTTGTGCAGAGGATCCAATACTGTATCTTTTGTGATCCCAACTGGAAATGACATTGTAAAGATAATGCAATATGGATTCAGCCAGATTTACTGGAGTATATTTGTGGACCTCATCAGCTTTTTCTCTTTAGCTCTTCTCTTTCTTCTTCTCTTTGCCTTGGTTCTTGTCTCCCGCAATATTTTGTGAATACATATTATAGGTCATCTTTTTGAGTAATTGTCAGTGTGTTTAACCCTTTCACTTTGTTACAGACTCTAAAGTGAGGCCTCCAAATCTCAATGCTCAGCAAATAGACATCTCTCATCTCAACAAAAGACAGTACAGTGATCTCATAGCTTATCAAGTGTGAGACTGAAATTCTGGCTTAATTCTTCAGGAAACTTCCTGTATGATTTAGTTGAACGTCTTTGTTTCTCCGTTCCTCAACAATCCATTAGGAAAATGTCTGTAATAAATTTCTGTACCTGTAAGTGTAAGAAAGTTGTTCAGATCTGCTCATGAACTGTTTAGATATCATGGTAAAAGTATCCTGAGACTCTGTAAAAAGAAGAAATATGACAAGGTCTGGACTTTTGTGTGTCCTTCCTTAATTTAATTCTCAGGTACGTTCTTTAGCCTATTTGGAATAATCAGTTCAAACCCAAAGATTTCCTGGCTTTCCTCATGAGGAGTATGAAAAAGAGGAAGTTGTTAATTTTCATGCACCTTTGTAAAGTTAAGACAAAGTTTTAAAAAAACAAAACAAAACCCATCTCATTATTATATAATTTTGAAGCATTGTAAATCAGAGTACTGACTGGTATTAACTCCACAATATGCATTAAATTCTTCTAAGTTCCCTCTGTTTTTTGTAAAAATGGCACTTATGAACGATCTAAACAGAATTCATTTGCTTTGTAGGTGGTGGACTGTGCTTGGGATGAACTGGTCAAGATCTATACTCCATCATGTCTGGCAGTTCCTGTTTAGAGGAAAAGTGATGATCTCACACACCAGGAACCTTTCTCTCTTTCAGACTTGTGCTAAAGTGTCAACTGTATCACTAATCTTAGTGTCTCTTTTTAAGTAAAACTGCTTGAATGGAGTGTTGTGCACTTAAACATGTGGAGATTTTAGGGCTTGGTTTACTGTACGGGTAGTACCTGAACTAGCAAAATGTTCAACAGCCACTGAATGGCTGAAGAGTGGCCATAGCAGATATGAGTGGTGTCTTTAGAATCAAGTCACCAATGCAGTTTTGTGATCTGTCTGGCTAATGATGAGAGCAGAGGCCTGAATCTTCTTGTTCGTTATAAAGAATAAAAGTAACTGGCAGTGTATTTTGATAATGTCACTGTAGAAAAGAAAAGAAAGGGGGGAAAAAAAGAAAAGAAAATAAAGGCTTTTTCACTGTAAAGTTTGTATCACTCAGATGCATTTATATGTTTTGCTGTGACTCATGTTGCATTATTTTCTTTTGCAATATGATGAATACTCTTGATTGACAGTAAATGTCGTAGTTTATAGCCAGCTGATTCATTTGACCTTTCTGATTGCTGCTTCAAAAAGATGATAAAGATTATTTTCATATATTTTTTCTGTTAGATCTTCTTGAGTAAAACGATTGATGAAGTTATGTGGAAAGATACTCTGATAATAGAGAAAATGCTTAGGAAAAAAATGAAATATATACAAAACTAATTGGATGACAATCCTCAAGATTTAGAGATAGGGCAGCCATCTCTTCTATTAGACTTGTCTTTTATTTTCATTTAGGAAGTTTTTCCAAGAAGTAGAAGAGGAATGTGACCATATATTCAGTGTTTCTGGACCGCTGACAGCTCAGCCAAAGGGAGAGCTGATGTCCAGACCAACTGAACCTATATATATATATATATATGTATGTATGTATATATACATATATATATATATGCAGATCAACTACATGACATAAACATAGCAGATCCAGCATGGCCAAACTATTACACATATTATAATATACCCAACATGTTATAGGTACGTTGAATACTTCGCATTCCCGTTTTGAGTCCTCAGCCCACATGCTGGTATTTTCATCTAAGTTTTCTCGGGCAAATAGAGATGTTCAGTTGTTACACTTCCGCAGTCACCTTTGAATAGTCTTTTAGGATCCAACTGTGGTAGTACTGCAGTGCTCATTGGTATATGTTAGGCTTCTCTCCTGGTTTGCTGCTAGCCTTTTTTTTTTTTTACCTTCTTAAAGCCATCTCCCTTCTGCTGTTAACCCACGTCAACTATCATTACCATCAAAAGACTCTTTGCAGGTCAGGTCTTTGCAGATCTTTGGTCAGGTTTTCATAGTCTGCTGTTAATGAATGCTGTACACTTCTGGGTTGCACCACTCATAGATCAAGCAATAGCAGACACTTCCAGATCTGCTGGATGCTTTGAAGCAATGAAAGGAAGAATTCAGCTGAGCTAAGACCTGAAGTTGCAGGGAAAGAATGGATCTTCTGTCCTGGGGAAGGAGCTGGGGAACTAGCAGGTATCCACAGGGAGACATTCATATATTGATTTGATGTATAGGACAGGACAGGGAGAAACTTTCTTCTACAACAGATAATTTGGATCCCAATAGGATCTTGTATTTTTCTGAGTCAGTGCAAACTGCCCCCAAAATACCATCTTTTTGAGCTGAATTAATAACAAAAAGTTGATTTTCTTTTTTTTTGTAACATTGTGCTGCACCAAATCCCCAACATTTACTGCACTTTAATTCTTTGTGCTGAGGAATAATGCAGCAATAAAGCTGTGCTGCATGCAGCTTTCAGCAGTACCATGGGCCATAAAATCTAATTTCAGGCATTAAAATTGATTATTTCGACTTCAATAGTTACTCCACTCTTCTGTTTTATCTCACTTTTCTGCTTTGACTTCAGCTTACTTGTTAAACTGGAACATTTTGGTGGTGGGTGTGTATTTTATATGCATGTTTCTGGGGGGACAGAGGGAGTGGGATATTCCAGAATGCTGCCATAGCATAGTTGGAAGGAAAAATTTAGAAAACCTAGTGCAGGGGAAAAAATAATGGAATTCTGAACATGCACACTTAGCACATAGATTAAACCTTTCCTCAACTGCCTTCTCTGCCCTCATCTCTAGTTAGCTTCAGTGCTGAGGGTTGCTGCATCCAGATTTAATTCTCTTGAAAGATGAGCACGTCCAGAAGATGCACACAGTAAATAAAAACTGTGGCCTTTAGTCTTCCTGTGTGGTCTTTGAATGAAGAGAATGCGCTGTAACATTTCTGCACTGTAACAGAAAAAAAACAATCTGGCAATAGTTGTTGCTGATTCTTAATTCTCAGGGAATATTTGCTATAGTTGTTTTAAAGAAATAATTTTTATTTTATGACCAAAATATTAGCTTCCAATCTTTTTTTTTTTTGTCTACTGAAACATTGTTTAATGACAACAATCTAAAAGATGTAACATGTTCTACTTTTAAACTTGCTCCTGTGGAAGACTTTGGTTTTTTGGAGTCTGTGGGTTTCTCTTTGGTTCAAGAAATATACTGATTAACCAAGTTCTTAAAGAGTGGATTAAAGAGTGGATTTGTTGTTCTATAATGCTATTAAATTAATTGCACACAGTATCTTTGGCTATACTCTTGTGTTCACTTCCCCAATTAAGAAATGTCAATCAAAAAGTAAATGCAGAGAAAGATACTGAGACTATTTTTTAAGTAGAGTATTGTAATCATGGTTTATCTCTTGTATGAATACTGGGTGATGGTCACATTTTTCCTCTGTACTTCTAGGGACCATACTTTATGCAACTTTCCTAGCTGTATGTCCCATCAGGTCTGCCTTTTGACAAAGGAAAGCTATTTTAAATGATTCTTTGTGTCTGCTTGTGCAGAGTATGTGACAGTGAAGAAGTGATCTCTTTCTTCTAGCCAAGTACAGATTTTTGCTGCATAAGATTTTGCTCAGATTTTGCTGCATATGCACAAGTGTACTAACACCTTTCAGTAGTACTGCTCAGCTTTGAATGTACTCAGGGTCGTGGGATAGGGAATGGATACAACTCTGCACAATGCTTCCCCAGGAGACCTCATGGTCAAAGCAAATTGTCCATTAAACATTTTGTATAGATCTTTACCATTTTCATCCAAGAAGCCATTTTAAAAAACCCTCTGCCCTTAGGAAGACACCAGTTTGCTCCAGACAGTTTTTTTCCTCTCACCCATTGTACTTAGGTGAAATGCAAAACTGAGCATAATTTCCATTAAAGGATTAGAGTTAATGCATCATAATCATCTCTTTAGGATAAAGAACCACAGAGCTATTCATGACTATGATCTGTGCCCCACTGCTAGGCCAAAGTTGTTAAAAGAGTCAACTTACGAAGTAAGCACCCACTGTTCTCTGGACACCAGAACAGCTAGTGTAGGGGAAGTACCTTCACTGCAGTGTCACGTCAAATGATGTTTCTCTGTTGCTTTATCCAATTCCTTCCCACTGAAGTGCAGGAAAAGACATTTTTTCTGACTCTGGAGTGGTGGAGAGGCCATGGGAGACTAGTACTGATTCTGGCCTGAATCCGTGTTGAGAAAGGGATGGTTCAGCAAGGGACAACAGCTTCCACTCCACCTCCCTTTGCTATCTACACACAAGACTAATATTAGCAATACCATGAGAGATGCTGCCTTTGCAACACCGGTGAGTACCAAAAGTGGTACTTAGACACTTGAGTTTCCAAATTCAGCATTGGTGCAGCCTCACCTTGAGTACTCCGTGCAGTTCTGGGCACCACAATGTAAGAAGGATGTGAAGGTCCTTGAATGTGTCCAGAAGAGGACCGCAAAGCTGGTGAAAGGGTTGGAAGGCATATCTTGTGAGGAGAGGCTGAGGACTTTGGGCACGTCTAGTTTGGAAAAAAGGAGATTGAGGTGTGCCTCATCACTCTCTGCCACTTCCTGAGGAGGGCAAGCGGAGAGGGAGGTGCTGATCTCTTCTTCTTGGGATACAGTGATGGGAATGGTTCAAAGACACACCAGAGGAGGTTCAGACTGGACATTAGGAAGCATTTTCTTACCAAAAGGGGAGTCAAACACTGGAACAGGCTTCCTAGAAAAGTGGTCAATGTCTCAAGCCTATCAGTGTGCAAGAGGCATTTGGACAATGCCCTTAACAACACGATTTAATTTTTGGTCAGCCCTGAACTGGTCAGGTAGTTGGACTAGATGATCATTCCAGATTCCTTACAAGTGAGATAGTCTGTTAAAATTTTTATGCTTCTGTTTGTTTTTCTGTTTCTGTCAGAGAAGTATGAAGTCCCCAAAGCAGATTCGCAGCCTGATACTTTGCAATGTCAGAGACTCATTTCTCTAGCAGTAATTTCACTGGGGAGGGGACTAAATTTTTTCTTCCAGAGGTTATGCTTAGGTGGAGTCCAGATTACTAGAGTATTTCCAGAAAGAACAGTTAGATTAGATTTTTTTTTCCCTCTGCACTTATTTGGCAGAAGGAGCTTTTTTCCTCCCATGTGCAAACACTGTCACGGTGATCCACACGTTCCTTTACATTGTGCTGCATGTGGGCTCAGGGTGAGTCCAAATGGAGGCTGGTGTAAATGTGTTGGCACATTTCTTCAGTGGGTTCTGAAGCCAGACTTGGACTCCAGTACCTATAGTTTCCTTTCCCTCATTACCAATTTTCATCTTCAGACACTCATACTCAATGTGTACTTTGTTTCATTTTATAAACCTTGCCCTGCCTCCTTTCCCCTGCCTGTACCAGCTCCACTGCTAGTTCTAACCCAGAAAATTTGTAACACATCCTCTTTGGTGTGACTGATCTCTGTGACCACTAAGAGCTCAGTACTGTGCCCACCACTAATCCTGGTCATACACAGCTGCTCCTGGCTCAGACAGAGAGACCAGTGCTGTGGGTCCCGTGTGCCTTTTTGCCACTCCTCCATACTAGCTTGCTCATTTAGTGCACACTTGCTTGCTTGGCATTCCAAACACCTGCCCTACTCTTGCTGGGAACTGTTGGCATCAGCACCCCTTTCCTGTGATTGCTACAGGTCTTACCTAACACCAAACAAGAGTTTCCAGGGAAATGGCTGGGAAGAAGGACAGCTGGCTTTGGAAGCTGGGGGTATCTAGTGAGGTCTGGGAAATGAACTAAGACTGAAATACAATATTTTTCTGCAGAAAACTCACAGAAAATAGTTATGCCTTTTTAATACTGATGAAATGCATGGGGTGCTTGTGCAAAGTTCTGTGCAAGCCCACAAGAGCTGGCAGTCCTTGTCAGGATCTGCCCCAATCTTTTTATGGCAAGTCTTCTGAAAACAAGCTTTGGGTATCAAGTGTGCCATTTTCTCTAAAGCTGGCTCTTCCTAATACTGTTCCCATGAAGAGGCGGGAGGCTGGTTTTGTTTAAAATAAAGAATAATTTTGCTAATCTCATATTGATGGGTGAAAGGCATTCTTACTAGTGAGAGAAACCTAACGTGTAATTTTAAAAGAAGGCTCAAGATTATAAGGCAGCTCTGAATAGAAGTATAGTTTTTAATTCCCTTGCATTGCCTGACACTTCTGGAGACTGGTAGAGAGAACTGCTTTTGCTTTTCCTCAGAATCGAGGTGGTCTATTGCAGTCTCTTATTAAAACCTTAATCTGGCAAGTCGAGAGAAAGAGTCAGCTTATTTAAACTTTACGATGCTTTAAAACATCAATTTCAAAGACTTTGTGTGGTTGCCAGTTTTTAGTGACTTCTCAAGGAAAATCCCCCTGCAAGAACCCGGTTCTTCCTGCTTTCTTAGCAGCCGTTCCCCTCTCTCCGACGTCCCCTGCCTGAGAAGGGGTTCCCTTGGACAAGCCGGGCGCGGCCGGGACCCCGACGCGGGGAAACGGGGGCTACGGGACGAATGTTGCCGGTATGCTCGATGCATGCTTTTTCCTGGAAGGCCGTATAATTTTGAGAAGAAAGAAGCGGTACCCTCCTGCTTGTGCACGCGGAGGGGAAGCTGCGCTGATCTCCCCGCTCCGAGAGCCGTGAGGTTTCCGACGGGTCTTCTACGTTATTTTGGGGCCAGAGGCACTCCGCCGCGGAGCTGCGGGCACCCTGCAGTTATCCCCGGGGGGAAAGCACCGCGATGCCCACTACCGCTGCACTCCCTCCTACAGCCGACCGGGTTCGGGAGGGCTTGCGGGCGGCGGAGGGTCTTTCCCACTCCCAGTGAGCCAGGCGTGCTCCGGGAGACACCGCGGGGCGAAGCTGGGGGGACACCGAGGGCGGGGAGGGCGGGATCCTGTGCCACGGAGACACCGCGGGGCGAAGCTGGGGGGACACCGAGGGCGGGGAGGGCGGGATGGAGGACACCGAGAGCGGCGGCGCAGACACCGTGGGGATGGCGGGGGTAGACACGGGGGACGAGGAGGGGACGGGAGGGGGCACGCGGAGGAGGGAGGACACGTAGGGGGCGGCGCGGGGGGTGCACGTCGGGGGGGGTGGCTGCCCTGCCGGGAGCGCGTCCTGCCTCCGCCCGCCCCCCGCCTCCGCTCGGCCCCGTTCCCCCGCGCCGCCGCCGCGGCGGGTGGCCGGGCGGGTGGCCGGGCGGGCGGCAGAACCGCGGGCCCTGGCGGCGGGGCCGTACGCGGGGAGGATGCTCCGGTGGCGGGGCCGGGCGCGGGGCGTCGCGGTGGCGGTGGCGCACGGGCTCTGCTCGGGCTCGCTGAACATCCTGCTGAAGTTCCTGCTGGCCCGCTACCACTTCGCTTTCCTGACGCTGCTGCAGTGCCTCAGCAGCGCGGCGGCGGCGCTCGGGCTGGAGGCGCTGCGGCGGCGGGGGCTGGCGGCGCTGCCGCCCTTCGGGCTCCGCCTGGCGCGCCCCTTCGCCGCCGTGGCTGCCTTGGCCACCCTGCAGTCCACCCTCACCCTCTGGTCCCTGCGCGGCCTCAGCCTCCCCATGTACGTCGTCTTCAAGCGCTGCCTGCCCCTCGTCACCCTCGTCACCGGCGCCCTGGTGCTCCGCGACGGCATGCCCTCGCCCGGCGTCCTCGTCGCAGTCCTCATCACCACCTGCGGCGCCGCCCTGGCCGGTGAGTGCGACCGCGGCCGCAACCGCACCGAGGGGGACGGGGCGGACCGGGATGCGGCGGGACGGGGAGAGCGGCCGCGCCGCGGAGCGCCCCGACGGGGCCGCCGCCTCTGCAGCGGCAGCCACGGCCGCTCCGGCTCGAGTTTGGGTCGGGACGAGGAGGGCGGCGGGGGGAAAGACGTGAGGATACGGGTGGTGTGCAGTCCTGGGGGGACAGCTGCGACCCCACGGGGGCAGGTGCAGCCTTGCAGGGATGGATGATTGGTACATTCTTGCAGGGCTCGGTGCATGTGGAGATAGGTGCATCCTTATGGGGGCCGGTGTAAACCTGTGGTTCCTTTCTAGGGAAGGTGCAACCTCATGGAGGGATGTGTAGTCCTTTGGGAAGTGGGTGCACCTACAGGGGTAGATGTAATGTTCTGGGGGCAACTACAAGCCCATGGGGGCAACTGCAGCCCTACTGCAGTAAGTGCAATCTTACAGCGGTAGATGCAAGCTTAGGGGTCAGCTGCAACCCTCTGAGGCCAGGAGGACCCATGT